CCCCCAAGGGCCTACCTGTGGCTCCTGACCAACGGGGGCTTGGACGGCAGCCGGGTTTAAGCCAGGGGTAGAGAGAGGCCGAAGGCAGGCATGGGTAGGTCCAGAGGGGTGGGGTGCGGCCGGCTTGTGACCCCCACCCCACCCCCTGGGCGGTGACATTGGGAAAAAGATATCTTGAGCCTTGCCCCTGAACCAGGAGCCACCATGTTGGTCATCCCCCCCGGACTGAGCGAGGAGGAGGAGGCCCTACAGAAGAAATTCAGCAAACTCAAGAAAAAGGTGAGCGTGGCCCTGCTTTGCACAGACGACGGTGTGAAGGACCCGTGGGGTGAAAGGGGGGGCGGCGGCACCTTCCGGATCCCACCTGGAGAGGTGGCACCTCAAGCGGAGCTGCGGGAGAGCTTGGCTGCCCTAGGGACCTCGCTGCCCCCGGGTCTGCAATCTGCTAAGGAGTTGTCTGTCCAGCCTGCCCATGGCTTTCAGCAGCCGCTGGGCACCCGTGGCCCCCAAGCTGAGTTTGTCCAGTTCTGCATACTCAGAGTAGAGTATCTTTATTCTACGGTCATTTTTATTCTACGGTCGCTCCTCGTCATGGGCTTTCCAAAGAAGGCCGCCACCGGCCTGTCATTGACATTTGCCAGGTCTTCTTGATTCTTCGGGTACTTTCCGTCATTTAAGCCTTTCCTGTAATTTTCTAGATTTGATCTTTGCCAATACTTACCTAGGCGATGGTGGCATTCTTTCAACAACTCTCTTAGTCCTTTTTTCTTTTTTCAGTTTAACATACGGTACTTCTTTACTCCAACCCAAAGGATCCGTTGGAAATATAAAACACTTACCTCTCCCCCCACACACACCTCAAAATCCAGAATGCCTTCTTGTCTGTAGAACATAGTCCCAAAGCCTTAACTTGACTTCTCTTTCCGGCTAAACAGCTAGCTCGCCAGTCCCCAAAGCACAGTTCTCTGAAGTGTTATCGCTGTATCTTTTCCATTCTGTGTTCTTTGTCTGAAATGCAGGCTGCGCCTTTCTCTGTGTTGAGTAGACTCTACCAAGAACCCAGTGGGCCAGCTCTTCCACAGCCTTATATAAAACTGTGCTTGTCCTTCACGACAAGTACCTGGGGTGGACAGACTTGGCAATTCGGCTCAGTCGTTGTATTTCAGTTTATAAGCTTCTTGAGGGAAAGGAATACGTCATACATCTGCATCGCCTTCTTGCAGCCATAGTGGATTCTCATGAGCCTTTCGGGGACTGAGCGGACAAAGTCCCCCCAAGAGGGCCACGTAAGCTGATAGAGGCTTGCAGCTCAGTCAGATCCTGGGGCTGCCCGTGCATACACTCCCCATCTCCAACTTCAGAAAGCCTCTGGGTTACATTGTCGATGATCTTGGGGGGTGGGCTGGCATAAGTGAAAGGCAGGACTTTCTTTCTCTGGGCACAGCTCCAGGGGGCACCCTTTGTATCACGCCTTCTGAGGAGATTACCCCAGCCGTGATGTGCCCAGGGCCCTTGGGAGAGAACCTGGCCAGGGACCGGCCCTCACCAACTCCTCTCAACTTTGTCCCCAGAAAAAGGCCTTGATGGCGCTGAAGAAGCAAAGCAGCAGCAGCTCAGCCAGCCAGGGCGGCGTCAAGCGCTGTGAGTGCCGGGGAGGGAGGCGGACGAGCCGGAAGCGGGTAGCCTGGGGCTGACTGAGACACAGCCTGGCCAACGCCATGCCCTCTCCCCCCACCGCCCCAGCCCTGTCCGAGCAGCCGGTGGTCGATACCGCCACGGCCACCGAGCAGGCAAAGCAGCTGGTGAAGTCGGGGGCCATCAGTGCCATCAGGGCCGAGACCAAGAACTCGGGCTTCAAACGTTCTCGGACGCTGGAGGGGAAGTTGAAGGTCAGCACGGGCAGAGCCGTTGCGGGGGACCCTGGACTTCAGAGGGCTGTCCTCTGGGCTGAGACTGAGCTGCGTGTAGGGGGAAACACTGTCCGCTCAAACGTGGGCGGATTGCTTTGTTGTTCGGAGCCCTTTACAAAAGACGCTAGAGGGTCCCTAAGTTCCCACTCACTGTAACACAGGCTGTGACTCCAGTCCACCCTGACAGCTGGAGCCAACTGAATATGCCATTCGGTTCAGGAAAGGTGTAGGTCTATGCCAAACGCAGGACCGTGCACGTAGTCGGTGATGACGTCACAGCATTGAAAACTGAGAAGCAGGAAGCCAAGAGGAGAGAGCGTGGGTAGAGGACTACCCTGTCGTGTGACTGGGTGGTTTGCTCCCACTGAGGTAGGTCTCTGCCGCACCCCCCCTCCCCAGGACCCTGAGAAGGGGCCGGCCCCCACCTTCCAGCCGTTCCAGAGGAGTGTGTCTGCGGATGACGACCCACAGGAGGTAATGGCTCCCGTCCTTTGTCCCTGGGAAGCTGGGGGTCAAGGAAGGGGAGAGACCCAGGCTAGCAGCTCAGGATTATTTCAACTACCGTCCTTTGGGGCTCTCTTTCAGACACCCCGACGTCCTCAGAGGAAATCTCTGTACGAGAGGTTAGTGAGTGCGGTCCCGCTTGGCAGGGGGTGTTGCCTGGTGGAGGGACAGTCACCTTCTGACTGCCCGCCTCTCCCCAGCTTTGTGTCGTCCAGTGACCGGCTGTGGGAGCTGGCGCCGGATGGGGAGGAGCCCGAGGGCCCAGGGGCTGGTGACGGCCCCCCTCGGAGCTTTGACTGGGGCTATGAAGAACGGGGTGGTGCCCGCTCGTCCACCTCCCCGCCCCGGAGTCACAGCCGGGACCGCAGTCGGGAGCGGAACCGGGACCGGGACCGAGAACGGGATCGAGACCGAGAGCGCGATCGCGATCGAGAGCGGGACCGAGACCGGGACCGGGACCGAGAGGGCCCTTTCCGCAGTGAGTGGTCTGGCCTGGAGGGGGAGGGAACCGCAGCCAGGCTGGAGCTAGGCCCTGGGGGAGTGTCAAGGGAGGGTGGGGTGGGCGGCTTCTACCTCCTGACGGATTCCTGGTGCCATAGGGTCGGACTCGTTCCCCGAGTGCCGGGCCCCTCGAAAGGGGAATACCCTGTACGTGTACGGAGAAGACATGACGCCCACCCTCCTCCACGGGGCCTTCTCACCCTTCGGAAACATCATCGACCTCTCCATGGACCCACCCAGAAAGTAAGGGTGGGGCCGGGGAAGCGGCTGGGTCCTGGGGGCAGCTCGCTCGCCTGTGTCAGGGAGCCCTGCATGTGGTGGTCCGAGCCCTCTGCTGACCCTGCTCTCTCTCCTCCCAGCTGTGCCTTCATCACCTACGAAAAGATGGAGTCCGCCGACGAGGCCGTGGCTGAGGTCGGCACTTCCCAGCTCCGTGCTCTGCACCTTTCCTACCGTCTTGGTGTTTGCTCCCTAGCCCACCGAGAACCAGGAGGGAGCTAGTTCCTCTGGACAATGAAAGCCCTGCCTTCTCTCCAGGAAAGCGTCCTATTCTCAGACCCCCTCCTCGCTCCGCTCGAGGATAGCAGCTCCCGGGGGCTCGCCTTTGGTTTGTCTGTAACACGCCCTCTGTCCCGTTGCCCTTCTGCCCTAGCTTAATGGGACCCAGGTGCAGTCCGTCCAGCTCAAAGTCAACATCGCCCGCAAGCAGCCCATGCTGGACGCCGCCACGGGCAAGTCTGTTTGGGGCTCCCTCGGTAAGAGCGGGACCTTCCCTCCTCCTCCTCTCTCTCTTCCTCCCGGCTCGCCCCTCTTCTTCGTTCCCTCGCTTGGTCCAGAATTCCTAGAGGTGCCAGAGGTGTGCCTTGGCAGAGGCAGTGGGCCTGGGCCAGGCTCTCTCTGTCAGTTAGAGGTAGGGGAGGCGACTCCTGAGGGGATGGCGAGAAGGGGCTCCTGAGTCCGGCTGGTAAGGATCGGGGTCCACAGCGTGGCCTGCAGCGGCTTCCTACGCATTTGAAGCCTCGGATCGGAGCACAGCGTGAGGCGAGGGGTGGCAGTGTCTTGGGCAGAGTGCTCTCTGAAAGCATGGCGGCAAACCAGGAGTCAGTGTCGATGGGGCCGTGACCCTGAGCCAGGGTTGTGGTTGGAATATGCTAAAAGAGCTGTGCTCCTCACATCCCACGTGTCCCCAGCGGGCCTGACATGTTCACTCGATGGATGGGTGCAAGGAGGAATACAGGAAGGGTCAGAGGGCTGGGCGACGGAAGCATGTACAGGACATAGCTTTGAGGGGCAGGGCCAAGGTGTGAAGGGCCAAGAATGGCTCCTGGGCCCAGGGAAGAGGAGGGGCCAGTGAAGTGGTGGGTGCGGAATCCTTGGAGATGAGAGAAGAGGGGACGTGTAGGTGCAGGCGGACGAAGAGAGGGAAGAGCGGCTAGAGACCCCAGGGAGGGTGTGGATCGCCACACTGCACCCCGGATCCACTGCTGTGACGGGACCGGGAGTGTCTCTCTGCGGGAAGCAACCTTTTCTCCCAAAGGGAAGGGGCTTCCCTCAGGAAGCTCAGAACACCTGATTGTACCGGTGACCGGAACCGGATCTGACCAAATGTATCAACAAAGGGCCACAAGGTTTTCTGGGTCTTTTTAATTTTTCACGTGCGGACTGAAAGTTGGTGAGTTCGCGTGGTTCACACGTCTCAACAAGGATAAATCATTTCGGGTTGTTCGAGAAACAGCGCATTCTTGACAGGAGCCCCAGGGCCCCAGTAACATCTTTGGCTCCTTGGCCCCAGGGGGCTCGGGGCAGATGGGGCCGCCCTGGCCACCAAGGGCAGCATACAAACTAGAGTTGCAAGGGTCATTGAGGTGGTCCTGCTCTGGGCCTGTGGCCTGATGGTGATCTTCCCCTTCTAACGGCCCCTCTCCTCCCTCCCTAGCTGTCCATAACAGCCCTAAGGGTTGCCACCGGGACAAGAGGACCCAGATCACCTACAACGATGACGTCTACGAGGGGAGCCTCGACGATGACTTCTAGGGATGGATTCCTTGTGCCTCAAATGCCCCGATGCCGGTCTCAGTAAACACTGAGGTGGAAGCTCCCTCAGCCTCTGGTTTTTCAGCACTTGGGAGGAGGGCAGGGCACACCTTTAAAAATGGCTGTCGGGGTTCATTTCCGTTGTCACACACAGCTAACGTGCATTCCCCGCTCCTGTGCCCCCAAAGGACCTGGAACCACAGGTGTTGTCATAGCGGCTTTAATGACATCCCAGGCCTCGCCTCGTTCCCGGAGGGAACCCCTTAGAGAAAGCCTAGATCCTCATCCTGGAGTTTCTCCTTGAGCCAGGGCAGCACATGGAAGAGGTTGATGTGGAAGTCCCGGGCGTAGGCAGGGATCTGCTTCTGCTGGCGCTTCTGCTTTTGTTGCTGGTCCGCGCAGACGTCCACTACACCCCAGCTGATCACACCAACCTGGAGAAGGGAAGGAAGGGAGGCCGTGCCCCCTCAGGCGTTCCCTCCTGAGCTCAGGAAGAAGCACAGCCCCCACCAGCGTGCTCCTGAGCGGCCATCGGAGGATCAGACCAGGAAAGCAGCGCGGTCCTGCCTTCCCTGGCACACGGGCAGCCAGGGCCCAGAAGCAGCCAGCCCAAGAAGGGCCCCTAAGGCGAGGCAGGCATTTTCCACCCCTGCCCCCTCCCCCCCAAGTCTCATGCATTGAACCTCCTTGTTTTGGGGGGTGGGGGTGGCAGTGATGACCACTTCCCTTCCCACCCCCACCCCCCACCAAGAAGGAAACTCACTTGAATGAAGCGGCTCTTCTTGTGAACGATCAGCGGGCCACCGGAATCCCCTGCAGGGGAAGAGAGACTGTAGGGAGAGGGCTCTTGGGCCCCAGGACCTCGCGGCACAACCAGAGCAGTCTCTCACCTTTGCAAGTGTTGGGGTCGGCGTAGGGTTCTGAACCTCCAGTGCAGAGGAATCGGGGGGTGACCACCTCAGAGAAGTCCTTGACTTTGCTGTAACCTTTGGCATTCAGAGCGTCTCTTTCGCAACTGGCTTTCTGTAGGGGGGAAGGAAGGAGGGGTGAGGTGAGCCAGGCTGGGCTTAGGAAGGATTTAGAACCCAGATAGAGGACCTCTTCAGGATCCCCCGCTGCTCCTTACCGATTCCCCGTTCTTGATGATCACCTCCTTCCGAGCCAACACCGTCTTCCTCTGATCTTTGCTGGTCTCCTCAGACACAAACAGAGCTCCCACGTTCTTCACCGGAAGCAGCACTTCCTCTGGATGAGTGAGCATGGGGGTCACCCCCGGCCCTCCTCCCCCGGTGTTCCTACACTGCTTTTGTCACGGAACAGAGGCCCTGAAGCAGTCTTTCCTAGAGCCTAGCTGAGCACCATCTCCCCCCTTCCCGCCCCCCCTTCATCTCAGACACTTCTCGCGCCCCTCTCCCGGAGCCAGTCTTACTGTGTTGTTGGCAAGTGGCTGACAGAGGGAGCCTCAGTGCCCGCGTGGTGCCCTCTGTGCAGGGCAGGCAGATGGGCCTGTTGAGAGAGGGGAGACTCAAGGGCTGCCGATCCCCGACCGTCCGTCGTCCCTCAGCTCGACCTTTCGCAGCCTCTTTAGGCATCCAGGTTCTCCCACCTGAGAGTCTGGCTGAACTTGAGCTTCACCTTGAGTTTGACCAAGGCCACGTCGTAGTCGTAAAATTCTGGAATGCCTTCCGCCTTTTTCCCATTGATGTTGTAGTTGGGGTGGAAGAGCACCTGCTCCACCTCCAAGTCCTGCTTCCTCCCGGCTGAGGTAGGAAGAGAGTGGGTACTCCGGGATCGCCCACCCCTCTGCGACCCCCACCTCACCCCATCCAGGTCCTCCTCATCCCTGCTGATGTGCACCGAGGTGCTACGTTGGCGCGTGGGGGAGTGTGAGGTCTTCAGGGGAGCCCAGGCTCCCATTGACTGCATCCTTACCCGCATCCTTAGCAATGCTGGCCTTGATGGAGTGGGCCTCATCCTCCACAGTGAAGCAGTGGGCTGCTGTCAGCACAAAGTACTCGGACACCACAGCCCCCATGCAGTTTTCTACGCCCTGCCCAGGGCGCTGGGGACGACAGGGGGGAGGGAAGACCCGACTGCTGCGGAAGGCCACACTCCAGCAGGAACAGTCCGCTGTGTGCCTTCCTTTCCCCTCCCCGCCATCTCCCCTGACCTCCCCTCCCACAGGTCCCCAGCCTGGGCTGATGCACTTACAACAACGGAGAGCTTGATGTGCCAGGGCTGCTTGTGGGCGTCGGTGGCCTCTTTGTGCTCCCAGACCATGCCACAGAGACTCAGCGTCTGACTTTCATCTGGCAGGAAAGGGGGGAGGGGGCACGTGGTCAAAGTGGGGACACTCGATTCCCAAGTGGCAACCGCCGTTTGGGGAGGAACTCATATCTGTCGGGACCAATGGCAGGCAGATTTGTTTCTCTGGATCAGGAGGCAAGGGGCCACTGTAAGCACAAGAACTTGGGCCTCTTTTCAGACCCAACTCTCCCTAGTTGGTTGTCCTTTGGCCTCTATTCCATGTGCTGTGGGACAGATCTCCGAAGTTGCCCAGAGCGCTGTGATTCTACGGTCAGGAAATGGGAGACTGCCAGCAGAGGGGAGTGACCGAAGAAGAAGGTCTGGCAGACTGCTGGGGTCTCCAAGGCAACAAAGTGAGTGAGCGCGGGCCGGAGGGATGGAGACGCCCTGGTCATCTGCCCTCAGGCTCGGCCTACCGATCATCTTGTAGAAAACATCCTCCAGGTGTTCCATGTCCTTGACCTTGAACACGTGTTGCTCCTTATCTTTCTTGGACGCCAACGCATTGATGTTTGTTTGGTCCACGAGGGGCCCGATCCCAAACACATAGACATCTGGGGAGCGAGGGGGACAGAGACGGGGTCATTCACGCGGCTGTGAGGACAAGGGCCTGGGAAGCAGGGTGCTGGGCTCCGGGGGCTTCGCTCACCCAGGTAGTCCTCCCGTGGGTTTTTGCGGTCCCTGCCAATGTCCAGCAAGTACCGGATGTCATTGATGATGCTGACTGGGTTCCCGCCCATGTTGTGTAGGCCTGGGGAAGAAAGGGGTGTTGTGGGGCGGGAGGCAGGGAGTCTGGAAGAAGTCACTGAACACGGGCAGTGGCGTGACTGGCTGGGTGGGTTGGGCAGGGGACGGAGGAAGGATCACAGGGGAGCTCAGCATTTCGGTCCAGCGTTGAGAGTCTCAGCATGATTCCAGTGTAGGACTATAAGCACGGGGACGTGCAGGGGCCAGAAAGCGGGGAATCTAGGTCCCGGAGGGAAGTGTCCGCTAACCATCCGTCATGAGGAGGATGATGTGGCGGGTGCGGTTCCAGCCTTCAGGGCGTGCGCTCTCTTTCCAGCTCATCATGTTGTACACCTCCAGGAGGGCCTTCTTGGTGTTGGTCCCTGACTTCGCTTTGTGGTCTGTGCAGAGGGACAGACACCATAGCCTCGCGTGGTCTTCCACACCTTCCTTGAGCCCCCGGGGGCCTCCCATCTTTAGTGGTCCTCTCAACCCTTAGCGGGTTCCCACCAGCTCTCCACCCACTGTCCCCTCCTAGTCTCCCTCTGACTACTGAATGGCCCTCTCTGCCCCAACCCCTCGGGGACACTACCCATCCGACCGAAACGCTGAGTCCGCTTGACTTCAGAGTGGCCCTCGTCCCCCCTCTGCCCTGACGCCCTGAGCGCTGACCGTCGTAGTTGATTCTGTGCAGCTGCTGCAGGACCCAGTCCGCATCACTGCTCATGGGATTGGACACTTTGATGAGCACGTTGGTGTCCGTGGCATATGTCAACAGACCGTATTTTGGCTTCACCCCATAACTTGCAATCTGCGGGGGAGGATAACAAGAGGTCACCGGCATTGGAATGAGAATCTAGGCTCGGGAGAAACCAACAACCTTGTCCAGGGAGGTCATCGCAAGAGAGACGCAGGGTCTGGCTGGTCGCCCTGGGGGTCACGGCAGAGTCTGAGTTCAAAGGGAGAGCGGGGCGAGGAAAGTCAAGCACTGCCATCGGGTGGATGCCAACTCCTAGTGACCCTAGAGGACAGGTTGGAACTGCCCCTGGGGGTTTCCTGAGACTGTCCCTCCTTATAGGGTGGAAAGCCTCGTCTTTCTCCCAAGGAATGGCTGGTGGTTTGGAATCACTGGCCTTGCAGGGAGCAGCCCAACGGGTCACTGCCGCGTCACCAGGGCTCCTGAGTAAAAGGCGAGGAGGACAGACTGGCACCTGAGGGTGTTCGGGGAGGCTGGGGCCCCAGGGAGCGCGCTATGGAAGGAAGGGTAGCGAGGCCTCGGGAGAAAGGGCCGGCTGTCGACTTGCGGACAGCCGACCATGGAAGATGCTGCAGACACCCAGGAGGTAGCCGTGAGCTGCAGTCAGCCCGGTGGTAGGTGGCTAGGGATTCCCCAGGGAAGCGGAAGCGCCACCTTCTCAATGAGGCTGCTGAGACATCTCTTGGCCCCCGTGAAGTTGCTGGCTCCGATGCTGTCCGAGCCGTCCAGCACCATGTAGATGTTCATGGAGCCAGAAGGGTCCAGGACAATCTTCCGTTTCTGCTGTTCTCCTGGGTGCCCCAAGAGAGAGAGTCAGGCTCGCCAGACCCAGTTTGGCCCCTTCTCCCCCAGGTCCCAGCCCTGCCTCCCCTCCTCCGTCTCCAACCTGGGCCGTGGCCGTCCTCAGCATTAGCTCCTTCTATGGCTTCTGTGAGGGACGATAGGAAGGCTTCGGCCACCTCTTCAGGGGTGTCGTACATGAAGGAGTCTGAGGAGAGGTCAGGAAGCAGAGCAGTGCTCTAGGAGGGTCAGGGACACAGTGCCCAGAGAGACCCAGGGTTCCCGCACGTAGAATCCCCAGAAGTGCGAAATGTGCCACGGAGAATTTTGCCTGAAGTCACTGATTGGAGGGAGGTGAGGGGATAAGACAGTCCTCAGGTGGACATTAGCACGGGAGAACGGAATCGGACCCAGGGACACAGGTCAAGGGTCACCTTGGCAGGAAGGCTCTGTGCCACTCCAAGAGCCACCTTCCAGACACGTGCGCCGCTGGGAGCCACGCAGGTTGAGCCCCCGGCTGCACTGGTAGGTGACGCTGTCTTCAAGGCGGTATTGGCTGCCCACCTTGCGTGTGCCAATGGGGATGCCCGGGTTGGGACAATACCCCGCTGCAGAAGGAAAGACAAGGAGGTGAGGCCCCACGCCTGCGGGCTGGAGAGCGGTCATTTGGGTGTCAGCGCCTTGGGGTGGAGGGGTGTCAGGGAAGGGGAGCCTTCTTACCTCCATTGTCACAGATGGCAGTCTGTCCACTCCACCGGCCAGTGACCTGGCAGGTACGGTTGGCAGAGCCCTTGAGGGAGTAGCCATCATAACACTGAAAAGTGATCTCGTCGCTCAAGTTGTAGTAGGGGGCCCGGGGCCAGAACTCCCCGTTCTCAAAGGCCTGTGGCCTTGGGCACCGAATTGCTTTGGGGGGGCAGACAGGAAGAAATCAGAGACCGAAGGGGCTGCCCTTTAGGGGGTCCCTTCTGGTCTTGGGATCCCTGTCACTGAAAAGAAGTGCCTTCCTGGACCATCAGGGGCAGCAACTGCCTTCCTCTGACCCTCAACCAAGGTGGGCTCCAGCTGCTCCCCCCTCCCCTGCGTGGGCCTTTAAGTGCTAGGGTTACCTGGCACAGGGCAACACAGGAAACAAAGACTGTCTCATTGACTCCAGTCCACAGGGACCCCATGTAAGTAAGGGGTCTGAGGGTAGAAATCGGTCCTAGATCAGAGAGCCTCACCTTTCTCCTGGGGACCAGCTAGTGGATTTGAACCACCAGCCTTGTAGTTAGCAGCCACCAGGGATCCTTGGCATAGGGTACCCAAAAAACCAAGCTCACCGCCATCGAGGCAATTCTGACTCGCAGTAACCGTATAGGACAGGATAGACCTGCCCCAAGACTGTGGCTCTTTATGGGAGGAGAAAGCTTTGTCTCTCCAGAGGAGCTAGCTGGTGGTTTTGAACTGCTGACCTTGTGGCTAGCAGCCCAATGCGTAACCACTACATCACCAGGACTCCTTAACATGTTTGCCCCTCTGATGCTCCACCCCCACCCCCTAAAACAGCTCCCATGCCTGCTCAGCCCAGCTTGTCAAGCAACCTGGTCTCAACAAAGCTCTAAGCCCATACAGTCAGTGAGCCCCGGCCTTGGCCTCCCCCTGCTCCGGCCCTCCGGCCCTCCAACCTCTGCACTCTGCACTCTGGACAATCTTTTTGTCTTGAGTCTGCAGGGCGCTCCAGGACCTCGTGGAGGGTCTGCAGGTGCGTGTCTGCACAGGGTACGGGTAGAAGCCAGAGGGACACAGGTATTCCAGTGTGTGGCCCTTCTGGAGGAGTTGAAAGGAGCCTCCTGTGATCCGGATGCCCTCCAGGGAGCAGGGACTTTGGTCCTGGGACGCAGGCAATGGAGTCGTGCTCACACCTGAAGAAAAAGGAGGATCAGTTCTGCGTGCCTCAGACACACATGCACACACACGTGCGCACACACACCAAACACGCACAACACACCAAACACACACACAGCCAGGCCAAGGTTGAGGAGGGGTGCCGGGCAGCAAAAGGGGCTAGCGATCATCACTTACCTGCAGACCAGAGGCCCAGGACCAGGGGGATTAGGGAGAGTGGGGCGCTGAGCATCCGCCCCATGGCGATGGAAGACAGGAGAGAGTTACCTACCGGGCGGGGGGCCCGGGGCCTTTGCTGCGGGTGTTTGTTCAGTGTCTGCACTGCTTGGGTACTCACCCTTCCCTGCCCCCAGGAACCCCCAGCCTTTTATGCAAGAGCCTCTGGCACCTGCTGGCCACCCTGCCCGCCCCACCCACATCACTTTCCGGAATGTCCAAGGGGGAGGGCCCTGCTGAGCAGTCAGCCAAGGAAATAGAAAGTGCACGGTCCCCACCCTTCACTGGCCAACCTGCAGAATGCCCCGGCCCACCCCACCCCCAACTGCTTTCCAGCAAGCCCACACCACTCCCTGCAGGACCAGGAATAAGG